CGCCTATAGCGAAAACCTCTAAAAAAAAAAAAAAAGAAAACACTCTGTACCTAGTGTTCTCAGAATGAGAGGTTCATCAGTAAACAGCTGCTGAGTAAAAGATCTGTTTTCAAAATTTTAATCCAGTCACAAAGAATAAAAATCAACGGGCACCAAGAATTTCCAAGAGCGGTGCTGTAGACCTAGAAGCAGCGCTCCGGCGAGTGGTCCCCAACTGCGTGGAAGTGGCGCAGAGCCCCTGCAATAAGGAGGCGACCGGAGCCATTCTGCTCGCTCATCGTCCATGTCACCGAGTCTACAGCGAGATTTACTAAAAGGCCAGCACCCCCGTCTGTCCTCCCTGGCCCCCTCTCTAGGCGGGCTGCCTCCACCATCGCTCCTGACCCAGCTCCGGGTCTCCTCGTCTGTCCTCCCCCCATCGGAGACGCGTCGGGTCAGTTGTGCGCCTCGGCACTGCGTGAGCACTGGAGAGGACGCCTGTGCCCGGGCACTGCCCTTAGTCTGCTTGGGGAAGAGACCGCGAACGACCCGAGGTAGGTGCTGCTGCGGGAGGGCATGGCCCGGGAGCCGCAGCCCCGCTGGGCAAGCAGCTGTGCTGTCAAAGCCCCTCAGTCCAGGCTGGGAGAGCGCGCCAGCCTCGGCTCTGCCAGACGAGCGCGGGTGGAGGAGGAGGTCTACGTAGAACAACCAGAGTAACTGCCGGGACACAGAAGCAAGTGATGGGGACCAGCAGTTGGCGTAATGTTTATGTCTCTGGACTCTCACGTAGTCGACCGCGGTTCACGTCCCGGACCCGGTGGCTTAAAACTCATGCCAGGTACGTGTGCGTGCATGCCCAAGATCCCGAGAGGAGAATGGAAAAAAGGGATTGCGGTGTGGCCATCCCCCCTGGGCGGATGATTTCTCACTTTCTGTCTCTCTGTCTCTGTCTGTCTGTCTGGCCAGCACACGCACCCTATAGCAAAAACCTCTCCAAAGAAAAAAGCAGCAGCAAGTGATGGGTTTGCTCGGGCTTCTCCATCAGCAGAGTGAACGCTCCTTTAGGGATGGTGTGCGTCTGATCCAGTTGCTGCTCTCTGAAACAGGGCCCAGTGAAGCACACTGGGCCTAATTAGTGCTAACTAGACGCTTGTTGGAATACCTGAACTGTCCCTGTCTTTGAAAAGATCAAATAGAGCACATTTGGCTAAAATAAAAACAAAACAAACCCCCAAAATCGAGTGCAACTGTTAAACAGCGACTTCCAGCACAGGTCCGTTTCTCCCCGCTGGCCCGTCGTGGAGATTTAACGATCAGTGTTTCCAGCCAGCAAGTTCTGTGCAATAGAAACCGTGAAGCTTCTGACACGAATCACGGGTGCCATGTGGGAGTATATTGAGAAGGAACTTCCAGAGATTCAGGGAAAATAAAATTGAGGTACAAGTTTATGTTGTGCAAAAGCGTGTTGAAATCATGCATGAGTTTTTAAAAATAATATTCATCTTTCCATGAACGGTTTCTTAGTGATATAATGTCTGTGTGTGTGTGTGTGTGTGTGTGTGTGTGTGTGTGCAGGCATGAGAAAAGAAATAGAGCGAGAGAGACAGGATGACAGGGTGAGAGAGAAGTCCCTCCCAGAGTTCGGTCACGCCTGACCCCCTTGCTCCAGCCCACCAGGATCTGGGCACTCACGCATGTTCTCCACGTGCTTTCGGGTCAGCCAGGCGGGGACTGGAATCACGGTCAGCACGCGGCTTCAGGCTCTGCAGTTGGCTATGGCTTTTCTGGGTTGCTTTTTCTTTGTTATTGTTGTTGATTTTGCTACAGGGTGTGTGCACTCGCTGGAGAGAGACACAGAGACAATGAGAGGGAAAGTGAGAAATCACCCCCCACCCAGGGGGAAACCATACCATAATCCCTTTTCCTTCATTCTTCTCTCAGGATCCTGGGCATGCATGCACGTGTGCAATGCATGATTTTCAAGCTACCAGGTCTAGGATTCAAACCATGGTTGACCATGTAGGAGTCTAGTGACATAACCACTATACCATCTGTGGGCCCCACAGCCTGGTATGATACCCACTGTGTCACAGATGAAGTCTGGGCCTGCCTGGACTTCTTAAAACACCCCTCGTACATGAGGCTTGCAATAGGAAAAAGGAAGAGAAATGTCAAATTTGAAACAACAACAACAAAAAACCCTAGTTGCTGTCCAATACCTATAAATAAACGGATTTTCTTATTCTTTAAATAACCTGTTTGCTGTGTTAGAATAAGAAGCTGGATGCAAATAAAACATGAGTATTTCCCAACCAATGAGGTGGCTGTGACAGTGACAGTGACGGTTCTAGAGAATAATGTTGGTGCTACGTATGTGACGAGCTTTCTTGGGAATATTTTAAGTGAGAACCTTTACCAGTACTGAATGATTGAAGTCCCCTGTGAGCAGGACTCACAACTCCAGCCGGCTTCACATACAAGGCTGAGTGTTTTCGCCCCATGACGATGTCCCATCCAGGGCAATTGATCCTATCTCCCTTTCCTGTCATTAAACAAAGGAGCCCTGCCGTGATGACAATGATGAAGTTTGTCATTGCCACATCTTTCCTCAGTCACTAAGTAGAGAATTCTCTTACTGAGCATTTCCCTTCCGGGTGTCTGTTACAGAGGGACTGTGCGCTCCTCTTCCTGAGAGAACGTGTGAGCAGGGAGGGAAGGACAAGCGGGCGGATGAAGAGACAGCGAAGTGCGCAGGGAGCTGGCGGCCATGTCTGCTGAGGGCCAGGTGGTGGGGACAGTGACGGGCAGGGAGACTTGGGGAACAGTCAGTCTCTCCTGCGAAACCAGGTATGTCCCTTCAGCAGAGGAGGTCCCGTGGCAAAGGTGTACCGGTGTGAGGCAGTCTCTCATCGCGGTAAAGTGAAGCGCTCAGGGGGTAAAGCACCCAGAGGGACCAGCAGGCGGTGTAATGGTTATGTCATCGCTGGACTCTCAGGCAGTTGACCGTGGTTTGAGTCCCAGACTCGGTGGCTTAAAAAACCCAGGCATATGTGTGTGCATGCCCCAGATTCCCAGAGGAAATAAAGGAGAAGGGATTGTGGCATGGCTATCCCCCCTGGGGGGTGATTTCTCGCTTTCTGTCTCTGTGTCTCTCTCTCTCTGTCTGTCTGGCGAGCGCACGCGCCCTACAGTGAAATTCTCTCCAAAAAGTACATATGCAAATGAGTTAATAAATAAGTAAAAACCACCCGAGTGCTGAGACTCAGACAGGGGACCCAGGGAAGGGTGGTCTGTGCCCAGCAGGGCCTACCTCAGGAACATGGAAAGGCTTTCCGGAAACAGACGGAGCAGGACTCAGGATTTTAGAAGGGGAGTCTGGGGCTCGTTCCCACCTCCCTCTGCAAGACCACCTTAGCTCTCCTGTGCCCACACTGCCTCCCGGGCCTCTCCGACGTGCACACACATTTATGCCGTATTCCGTCCTCTGCGCCCACCGGCCTCCAGCCAGGGGCAACCTTGGACAAGCGCGAAAGGAGCGTCCTCTAATGCAGAAATATCAGTGTTCTCCAAACCTGTCAGTGGCTTAAAGGAGAAAGACTGGAAACGGACCAGAATAAGAGGCTAAGGAGACATGACGGCCCATTCAGGGGAAGGGTTAAAGGTCACCGGGACCACTACCAGGTCAATGACAAAACGGGATGTAAAAAACTGCCTAGATGAAAGTCCTGAATCATTGTTACAGTCGCTGAATTTACTGAGCTTCCTAACGGCAAATAAGAGAACATCCCCATTTATTTAGAATACACATATTGAGATGTTTGCGTGAAAATGACCTGAGGTAACTACTCAGAAAGCCCAGAAAACGGGGATTGTGTGTGTGCAGGTGTGTTCTCATCTGCAGCGAGGGGTGGGGAGAATGGTGAAGGGACTGAGGTGAAATTTTAGCCTGAGCACAATACACTGGGTTGTTGGGAAAGTCGTGACACACTGTTCTGTCTCTATGTGAAAATGCATCGTGACTTCCCAGCACCCCAACATATGAATTTTGTTTATGTTGCTTTGATCATTTTTCCCTGTGAGTTGACATTACATCTAAATATAAAGTTGAAATGAACTACTACTAATAAAACGAAATGCACACATCTGCCTGTCGTGAGTGTCTCTCCCTCCCTCCTTTCTGGATTTGGAGAGGGAGCCATGCAAGATGCTTTCTGGGACCACAGGGTGACAAGAGGCAGCACAGCCCTGAAAGGCCTAGAGAAGCCGGCAACCCTGTCACTCTCCTCCCTGCTTCTGCTGGGGCCTGGGTCTGCCCTCGCACCACCGCTGCTCCCCAGGCCCTTTATGCTCAGAGACCCGGGATGGACCACGTACCCTGTGAGTGCGTTTTGGGTGAGGGGCGTGGTCCTAGCTCTGTGTTATGAACCGTGAGCCTCACGTGCTAGCTGGGGAGCATGAGAGTGGTGATACTGCTCTGAGGCTGTCCCCAGTGCACATCAAGCATTGCCTGGAAAACCACCTGGAAACTCGCCGACCGCTCCCACTTGAGAGTCTGATTGACTGAGAGCCGCCATCCCTCTCTCCTGGGCCGGGTGTTAAGATGTTGGGGATATTCTCTTATTTACCATTAAGAAGCTCAGGAGGTGCTGCTTCTTTTTTTTATTTTTTTTATTTTTTGAGAGGTTTTTGCTATAGGGCACGTGTGCTCACCAGAAAGAGAGAAACAGAGAGAGACAGAAAGCGAGAAATCCCCCCCCCCCCGGGAGGATGGTCACGCCGCAATCCCTTCTCCTCCATTCTCCTGTTGGGATCCTGGGCACACACGCACACGCGCCTGGTGTGAGTTTTAAGCCGCCAGGTCTGGGACTCGAACTGCAGTCGACTACAGGGGAGTCCAGCAACATAGCCATTACGCTAACTGCTGGTCCCAGGAGGTGCTTCTTAACAGTTGGCATAATGGCTATGTCGCTGGACTCTCAAGTAGTCGACCACGGTTCGAGTCCCGGACCTAGTGGCTTAGACTCACACCAGGCGCGTGTGCGTGTGTGCCCAGGATCCCAACAGGAGAATGGAGGAGAAGGGATTGCGGCGTGACCATCCTCCCGGGGGGGGGGTGATTTCTCGCTTTCTGTCTCTCTCTGTCTTTCTGGCGAGCTTACACTCCCTATAGCAAACACCTCTCCAAAAAACAAGTACCTCCCACGGGGCTGAATCACTTGCAGTGGACATTTCTCTCCACTCCTCTTGCTTGCCTTTTGCAGGAATGTCATCAACATCGAGCGACATGTGAAATAAATGCTCTCAGACTCACTGGTTCCGGCATATTATCCCAGAGACCTTGCACAGCGGACGACACAGAGACATTCCCACGCTCTTCAGCCATTTCTGTCAGTAGGTGCTCTGTTGTCGTCCCAGGACTTGCCATTGTTTGTAAGTTTACCAGGCCACAGATATGCGTTGTGTTCTGGAGGCTGGTGGGCAGGGGTGAGGTCCTTACCCAGTGTACGGGGCTGGCTCACCCCTAATGCCCCAACATCCCAGGGTCTACCCCTGCATGGCTTATACCCATGAAGTAGCTTCTAGCAAGCATAGCTAAGTGGGGTGAAGATCAGAAAAGAAGGATAGTTAATTCTAGGAAATCTATTAATACAGTTTAGCATTATTGATTAGGTCTAAGTGAAAATATTATATTATCATTTCTATAGATTGTGAAAAGATATTTGACAAAAATCAATATCCATTTTTCACTTAGTAGGGAATCAATATAAGTGTCTATTATCTAATGATGGATTAAAAAATGGCAGTATATATTATTGTGTATTGTAATATATAATTATAATATATATATATATTGGGTTGTAAGGAAAGCCACAAGGCATTTTTGCATAGAAAAATCTGCCCTGACTTTGCCAACAGCCTAATACATAAGGGATTTCAAAAAGTTTATGGAAAATATATACTACAAAAACACTACACATGGGGAACCAGCAGTTAGTGTAATGGCTATGTCGCTGGACTCCCACGTAGTCGACCGCGGTTCGCGTCCCGGACCCGGTGGCTTAAAACTCACGCCGGGCGCGTGTGCGTGCGTGCCCATGATCCCGAGAGGAGAATGGAGGAGAAGGGATTGCGGCGTGACCATCCCCCCTGGGGGGTGATTTCTCGCTTTCTGTCTCTATGTCTCTGTCTGTCTGGCGAGCGCACACGCCCTATAGCGAAAATCTCTCTCAAAAAAAAAAAAAAAAAAACACTACACATGAATTTTTTTTCAGGTTTTTGTTGTAGGACATGTGCACTTGCCAGAGACACGGAGAGACAATGAGAGGACAAGTGAGAAATAGCCCCCAAGAGGGGATTCCAATCTCAATCCCTTCTCTTCCATTCTCCTTCTGGGATTCTGGGCACGCACACAACAGGTGCCCAGTGGTGAATTTCAAGCCACTAGGTCTGGGACTTGAACTGTGGTTGGCCATGTGGGAGTCCAGCACCTAAAACACCACGCCACCTGCTGGCCCCAAGAATTTTCATTTTTAGTATCAAAATAAACTTGCATTTAATTCCCATTTTCCACAAACTTTCTGTAGAATGCTATTCAGCCGTCTAAAAGAATGAGAAGCTGTCATTGGAGGTAACATGACTGCACCTGGAGGACATGATGTCAAGTAAAATAAGCCACGCCCAGAAAGCCGTGTCCTCCGGCACGTGGACATGGAGGTAAATGACCATGTAGAAGGAGAGAGTTGAACCGTGACTGCTATAGGATGGGGAGCATGGGGGAGGGAGAGGTAAACAGAGATGTTGATTAATGGACACAAAATTGCAGAGGAAAGAAGAACAGCTTTGAGTGTTATAAAATATAGTAGGGTGGGTACAGGTGAGAACAATTTCATGCATAGCTCAGAGTAACTAAAACAGAGTGTTCTGAACATTCCCAACACAAAGTAATGGCACATGGTTGAGATGATGCGTATGTTAATTGCCTCAATTTAACAGATACACATTGCATTCTCGTGTTAATACTGAAAGCATCACCTGAATGCCACAAACATGTACAATTATTACAAGGATTTCTTTTCCTTTTTTGAAAAAAGATTGGACCAGGAGGTAGTGCAAGCTTTGTGCAAACGGACCCACACAGGAAAGGATCTGGACTTGTGTCTGGGGACCTTCTTGAGAAGAGTGGCTGAGACTGGGGACAGATCGCAGCATGGGGATCACTGTGGAGATGCTGTCTCTCCCTCTTTCTCTCTTAGTGTCTTTCTCTGTCTCTCTCATGGAAGAAATGAGTAAACTTTTGAGAAGGTTGAATCCTTGGAGACAGGTTACATTGTTCCCTTGGTGAAGATGCACCACTCGAGTCTCTCGTCCTTGAGGCTCTTCTTCGATTTGCAGTCATTGTTAATGGATTCCATTCTGGTTCATTTGTTGGAGAGGGATTCGGTGACTGTGGACTCAAGTACAACACAAGGCTGCCCACTTTCTCCACTCCTATTCAATATAGTCCTGGAAGTCCTAGCCAATAGGATCAGACAAGAGAAGGAAATAAAATGCATTCCAATAGAGAAGGAAGAGCTAAAATTATCTGTTTGCCAATGACATGATTGTATACATAGAAGACCCAATAGTGTCCATGAGAAAGCTTCTCAGAGTAATAAATGCATACAGTAAAGTGGCAGGATACAAAATTAACTTACAAAAATCTATAGCATTTCTATATACAAACAACAAGCACACAGAGACAGAACTGAAGAAAATAATTTCACTTACCATAGCCACAAGAAGTATAAGATACCTAGGAATAAAGCTAATCAAGGAAGTCAAAGACCTCTATAATGAAAACCTTAAAAAGGAAATAAAAAAGAGCATGAAAGGGAACCAGCGGTTAGCGTAATGGCTATGTCGCTGGACTCCCAGGTAGTCGACCGCGGTTCGCGTCCCGGACCCAGTGGCTTAAAACTCACGGCGGGCACGTGTGCGTGTGTGCCCAAGATCCCGAGAGGAGAATGGAGGAGAAGGGATTGCGGTGTGATTATCCCCCCTGGGGGGTGATTTCTCGCTTTCTGTCTCGCTCTGTCTGTCTGGCGAGTGCAAGCACCCTGTAGCGAATACCTCTTAAAAAAAATTAAAAAGAGCACAAAAAAGTGGAAGGACATCCCATGTTCCTGGATTGGCAGAATTAACATAATCAAAACGGCAATCCTACCCAAATTAATCTACATATTTAATGCAATCCTTATAAATTTTTATAATTATTTTATTTTTATTTATTCATTCATTTTTTTTTTAATTTGACCAGAGAGAGACAGAGGTTGAGAGTGAGAGAGGAAGTGAGAAAGCAAGCCACCAGATTCAGGACTTGAACCCTGGTCGTCCATGTGGGAATGTCCAGCGCCTTAATCACCATGCCACCTGCTGGTCCCCAATCCCTATAAAATTACAAGAGACATTCTTCACAGATCTAGAAAAGACGATTATAGAATTTGTCTGGAATCCTAAAAGACCTTGTATTACCAAGGCCATCCTGTGTAAGAAGAGTGGAGCTGGTGGCATCTCACTTACTGACCCAAAATATATTACAAAGCTGTGATAATCAAAACAGCATGGTATTGGCACAAAATCAGACATGAGACCCCAGAAACAAACCCCAAAACATACAGCCAACTCATCTTTGACAGAGGATACCAGTAAATCCAGTGGAAAAAGGAAAATCTCTTTAGCAATGGTGCTAGAAAAACTGGGTATCCACCTGCAGAAAGATGAATATAATACTTTTATCTGTCACCATTAACAAAAATCAATTCAAAGTGGATCAAATATCTAAACCGAAGACCACAAACTATAAAACTGGTGGAAAACACTGAAAAAAGACTGAGAGAAAAAGCCTGAGAGACACTGGGGTAGGCAAAGACTTCTTAAACAAGACCCCCAAAGCACAGTCAATAATCCCGAAAATAGACAGGTGGGATTACATTGGATTAAGGAGTTTCTGCACAGCAAAGGACACCGTAATCAGTGTGAATTGACAACCCTCAGAATGGGAGAAAAATTCTGTTAACTGTGCCTCAGAAAAGGGACTGATAGCCAGAATACAGAGAACTCAAGCAGTTTACCAGGAAGAAAATGATTAATTCAGTTAAAAGATGAGAAAATGAGCTGAATAAACAACTCTCTAAGGAAGACTTATGAACAGCCAAAAAGTATATAAAAAAATTCTCAAAATCCCTCATAAAGGAGATGCAGATCAAAACCAGTGAGATACAGAAACTAATCCCAGTCAGAATGCCAAAGATTAAATATATATATATATATATATATATTATAAGTGCTGGAGGGGATGTGGTGAAAGGGAAACACTTCTATATTGTTGGTGGGAATGTAAATTGGTCCAGCCACTGTGGAAAATGATATGGAGGTTCCTCAAAGACCTTCAAATAGAATTACCATATGATCCAGCAATTCCACTCCTGGCTATCTACCCGAAGGACAGGAGAGCACTCAGTTGAAAAAGTGCTTACACAACTATTTTCATTGCAGCATTATTTACAATTGCTAAGACCTGGAACCAACCCAAATGTCCACAGACAGATGAATGGATTGAAAAAGTGTGGCACATATACTCCATGGAATACTATTCAGCCATAAAAAATAAGGCCCTGGAATTTGATAGAAAGTGGACGAATATGGAAGATTTGTTGCTAAGTGAAGCAAGTCAGGCTATGAAAGAAAAACATTGCATGTCTCTACTTAACATATACCGACTATCTGCACTCTATGGTAGAGACTGACAGACTGGAGAATATAAAAGTATTAAAAATTGTAATGGACACTAGAGACAAAGTGGAGATGAAGTGTGGGAGGCGAAGAGTGTAGGAAAGGAAATTTGGGCACAAAAGTTTCAGAGAATTTTTCCATTGCTATTATGCCCACAATGTTATAAAAAAAGTAGAAATAAAAAAGGACGTATGATTCATTTTTAAATGGTTTGTATTCTATGTAGGAATATTTGGACAAAATTCCATTAGAAGACAATTGGAATATCCATATTCATAATTATTTATCTAATTATAGTAAATTACTGGGAAATAAGACAAGAGAAAATATCCAACCAAATACTGTCAGGTTTTTTTTATGTGTGGCATCTTCATATGAAGGACAAGAAAGTGTCCAGGTGTCTGCATAAATATGAAGGACAAGAAAGTGTCCAGGTGTCTGTGTATGTGAGTCTACATGACCAACGTGCTTGGGACAGCCAAGAAAGCAGATGACTCCAACACCACACCATGGAGATTTCTATCATTGAAAATAGGATTTCCTGAAATGCTGAAGAACTCCTAACGAAATTCCAAACAGCACGAAGTATAATCGTCTCTCAATTCACTTGGCAATAGCTTTTCTTGAAAACCCAGAGTATATTAAAACTGCAAAACAGCTGGAATTTGTAGGTTAAATAGAGTTATGTTCTAGTCTCAGACACTTGTGAGCTGAGTCTCATCTACCCGACTGGGAAAGGCACTGAGGGAGTGGTGGAAACTTCTATCTTGGGACACATTTGTTCTCTGCACTTTTTAGGAGTTCTAGTATCCATAGCTGCCACACACTAATTGCTAACAGCACCCCTAAATTATTCTGACTACCCCAAACGCCTGGACTTAGATTCCAGAATTGCCCTGAAGCGTTCTTTGTAAACCACTTCTCAGGCTGGGCTGGCGTCATGGACCAACAGTCTCTGGGGTCCTATAGAGTCCTGCACTCTAAGGAGCCCAAGCTTGGGATCGATTGCTCTGTGGCCAGCATCTTGACATTTCTAATAATTTATTTATCTTTAAATAAAACATAAAGTGACAGCAGCAGATGCATCGGAAGTTTGAAGCTTTGGTGCACCCACCTTCTACAGCTTGTCTGTCACCCCTGGAGGGCTTTTGATGGCCTGTGCTCCCAACTCTCGTGGCCGAAACCATCCGTGGCCTCCCCCTCCCCAGCCTGACCCTGACACCAACTGCAGCCTTTTGCCCCCACAGGGACCTGAGGTAGGTCCAGGGGAGGGCAGAGTTGCATGCACTGCCCTCTAATGGTTTCTTAAGTGAGGGTGCAGCAATCGTCTAGGAGAAGGCCCTGACCCTCCCTTGATCAGGCACCTAGCACATCCTGGTACAGAGGTGCTGTACCCTTTGGGGTCACCGACCCTCCTTGAACTGGGCAGCAGTCCCATAGGAAGTGGAATATCATTCAACTATTTTAAAAAAAGGAAGAGGAAACTGTATGGAGATGCAGTGCTATCTAAGACACATCAGAAAGTAAAGAAAAGCGAAATGGAGAATGTGTTTTGGGAGGTTATGAAGAGAAAAGAAAACTTTGATATGTATACGTGTTTGTGTGTGTGTGTGTGTGTGAGAGTGTGCAGACATGAGGGGCTTCAATAGTTTGTGGGAAAATAGATTTAAATATGAGTTCATTTTGATACACATTTTTAAATTCATGCATAGTTTCTTTATAATACACGTTTTCCGAAGCCTTTTTGAAAACCACACACGTGTGCACGTTAGGATTCTAGAAGAGCCACTGCAGTCCTCGCCGTCTGGTGAAGACACCGTCTAGTTCTCTCTTGCTGACGATGGGCAGAGCACAGGATGTACTTCCAGTCAACAGACTATGACAAAGGTGAAAGGAATTCAGACATAATTAAGGTCCCAAATCAGCTGATGTTGCCTCTCACC